TAGGGCCCGAAGAAGGGGATACCTGGGAAGGGGTGGCCTTGGGTGGCTGGCTAGCAGAAATATTCGTGAGAATTTTTTTTAAAGATCCGTATCTAAGAAACTATTGGGCCGATTTTCCATATGACCTTGATCACCTCATTTTGACATCAGGTATTTACGGTTTGGCAGAAATAAGCGTGAAACTTATGACCTTGAGAGTTTTAAAGACCTCTATCTGGCAAACTATATTAATCGCATATCCTTTGTAGACATATACTAAAAATAGGAATTATTACGTTGCAATAGGATTAAAGTATTAACTTAATAATATGAAGTTCCAGGCCATGTTGCAACATGTAATAAGCGGCTTCCTCATGAGCACCGTTGAGTGGAATATTCAGAAACTAAACACGCAAGCGGTTTCTACGTTTACACGTAACAAATTTTCAATTTCCTCCATATTGTGTTAATATGTGTTAATGGCAATCTTCTATTGCATTTATTTCATCAAAGTATTTAAATCATTAAACCATTCAAATATACATTTTGAAACAACTTATAATATCGGACTGGGTTACTTTAAAGCAAGCGCGGGGCCATTACCAGCACATACTGCAACCTACCCCGTCACCCTTGCAGACTAAACAGATCGCCTTGTGCATATGATACGTGATAAGAGGGACAAAGGGGCACACATTAAAAGCACATAGAAAAAATTTCCAATCAAGTAAGAACAACGCTATACCATGTAAAATAATGACAAGCAGGTCCATATGAACAGGATCCTTCCATCCTTTTCTCGGACTGGGACCTGTTCATATACGTTCTTGGCAGATGATCCAGAAGTGGTTTGCCATTGCCTTCTTCTGTGTGTGAATGGAGTAATTGTTGGGATGCCACGGAGGAAAACTCCGTGTTGCCTAGACCACGGCCTTGCCCAACACAAGTTATAAATTCGGGCACCGCCGGGAATCGAACCCGAGACCCCAGGATTACAAGGCCAGCGTTCTAACCGCTAGACCACCGTGGCTTCTAAAACGGTGTAAGAACAAAAATTTACTAAAGTGAAAAAAATAATCGGAAAGTTCTCACAAATCGTATTTATTGATATTTCCATAAATCCACGAAATTATATTTTACATAGTAATTTAAGGTTAGAGCGATAGTTTTTTTTTTCTAAATTGCATTTAATATGAATTAGGATTTCACTCCGGCACCAGTGAATTTTCAACTGTCTCCTACTGTAAATGTTGTTGGTTGTTTTTCTTTGCTTATCTCTTTACATGTGTATCCATTTGTCGTTTGCTTCACTTATTCATCTGTTGATTACGCTGTAATACGCGTATTCAAGGATAATGACCATCAGCTGCATCATTTTAATGAAGATCCCTGCGACAAATTAACATCGAATCCATGACCTGCGCCTTGGATATTATCGACTTCCGGCTGAATGGGAAAAACAAGGGGACAAAGGTCACAACTGCGTTCGTGGATCCTTGGACCCTCTGAATTTGTCCAGAAACTTGAAAAACAATAAAATTAAGGCAAATGGAGGAATTTAGAGTTACTCTCAGATACGTTAGATTTGAGGTTCTCAAGGCGGCGAATATGAAGTTGGCTACCTTCTAGGTTGTTGTGCGTGTAGTCTAGTATAAGTTTACCGACGTTTCAGAGGTGCTTGCTTTCTTCATCATGAGGATGATCAGAAATATCTTAACGCTGCCAGTTTGAAAAGATTTATTAACAATCTTTATATTTTGATTCATGGAACTTTACTTTTTTTTTTCAAATGTGTGTATCTCTTTAGATTTAGGAGTTTAAAACGCGATGTAATATTACAAATCAAATTATGTTCTTTAATTTATCTCTCCAAAGTAAGTATGGAAAATATTTCTTGCGAATATATTTTCGAAGTATCTATGGCTTACAAATTCCTCATTATCTGAAAAACAGGCCTGCTCCGGGATACGAACGCATAACCTATCCCGATATTTCTTGACAGTAACTCGTGATATTGTATGTGTGTACTCATTTTCGGTCCTAATATCTACTGCTGATGGCTTAAAAAGTATGGCTGACAAATAGCACATGTGAAATTGTGGTATAAAGATACATTAGCATAATGTATGCCGCTAAAGCTGTGTCTTCCTCATAAACAAATCGGCTTTTATAAATAGACTGTAATTATCCAGGCAGGTCAGTTAACGGAGATCAACATGAACTACAAAACATTTGTATGAAGCACAGGCTTCTTCGAGACAGTATCTTGCTAATTGGCTATTACATTTGAGTTCAAGGCCTATACGTATATGGAGTCCAATTTGTCGGAATGTAAGCCTATAATTTATAGATATGTCGATGTTTACGTATCGTAATCGACTTAAAGACCTTGTCTATGTCCAAACCCAGCTCTGACGATAAGTAATCGCAGTGATTGTTAAATTAATATACAGGATGATTCAAAAGGTTAGGGCCAAACTGAAGGAGCGTATGGAGGGACTCAGAGAGAACAACTTTCGAATAGGAATCCATGTCCTCCGAAGTTATCCTGAATCAGTCGAGGCCATTGAAATAATTTGGTTTGTAAGATTGCTAATGTAATCCTTGTACATTAATAAAAAAACAAAATTAAGCTAGTAGGAGAATAGCAAAGTACGATTATTTCAGCGTTATGTTATCAGACTTCCCTGCCTTCAATGGCCTCCGTAATCTGATAAGAACATCTTCAATAAACTGCATAACATTGTAAAGAATTGTATTTCGAGTTTTAAATTTACCAATCTAATTTATACCTGAGGACGGTTAAATATAACCGAAACATGTAGTAAGATACGTTCCAATTTGTAAATCGATCATTCGATGCGGAACGTGAAATGATATTTTAAATATATTTTATTATCTTATTAAAAATTGTGATTTGACGGAAAATATTAAAATATTAAGAAAATGTTTATCAAGGATTTTTATTATTAGACCATCGCGGCACTTGGCAATAAACATGGGAGTTCCAATTCAACGCTGGCCTGAAAATGCGTTCTGCGAGAGTAACTGTTTATAAGCCAATGAGTGAGTCATTGACCTTATTACAAAGATACAAAATATTTTACGAATTTAAGAAAACGGATTTCTTCAGTTTATAAGAAAAGTGCTGCGACCTTCTGCTATCTGACTCATGATCTGAAGCTTTCACTGCGGCTTTTATTAATAAAGTTTTCTCGAGCTATCAGCCGTGTTAGATGTTGATTAATCGCCGACGTTTCGAGGACCATGTCTGTCCTCATTCTCAAGGCTGTTTACAATGTGGCGTTCGCGCTATGAGCGGCGTATATTTAGTTAGAAAAATGCAAGATCTTATCTTTCGTAATCACAATTCACACACACTGGTTCGTCATCGATAGATTTATTCAAAATGTGTTTTGTTTTCAAATGCTTGCATTCTTATAGCGTAAGGATTGATACATACTTATAGCCATGCATAGTTTGTACCCCCTTTTTCGTGAGGCGAAATTCTGTGATGTGCCGTCATGTGTCTCTCACAAGTTACAGTATGCAGTGGGTGGGGAAGGAATAGGTTGGGGAACACGAAAGTAGAATGAAGACCATAAGCGTAAATCTGAAAACAATGTGGGTGGACGTGGAATGGATTAATCTGGCTCAGGTACAGACCGTTTGCGGGCTCTTGTGAAAAGATGGAAAAGCGTGGTATAAAACACAAACGAAAATGCATAAAATTGTGAGCCAACAAAATTTGTAATAAATAAATACCAACATTAAAATACACAAATCATACGATTACTCAACGAAGCGACCGCCACAACACGTGGCTGACCCACCACAAGTGAAGGCCTGTGACACAAATGGTTTAGAAAAAAATTCAGCTTGAAACACGTGACCACATTACATAAGAGGGAAAGAAAACTGTGTAGTAAATGAACTGACAAAACCGAAACAACGAACTGTAGCATACATCACGCGTTTTTCATAATGCTACGACGGTTATATTAAAACATATGATTAACATTTTCGTAATATTGTGACAGAAATTAAAATTTCGAGACCCGACGTACAAAAGACTGTAAGCTTCTAATAACATCTGTCCACAATGTGTCGAAACAGCGCCGTATCTTGGGGTCACCCTTGACACCAGGCTTACCTTATTTTTGGTTATTATTTTTAAAAAGAAGCATTTGCGACCACATGTTCATAGGAACATTTTTTTCCTTATTTTTGATCTAGAAACACGCACACAAAGTTTGTAAACATAAAGATTTGTCTTCTGGGTTGTTGCGCTCTGTAGTCTGGTCGATGTTAACCAACGTTTCGGAGGTCATACTGCCTCCTTCATCAGGGCGATGAGTATGAAGATTTCTGTCTTCTGGGTTGTTGCTCCGTGTAGTCTGGTCGATGTTAACAAACGTTTTAGAGGTCATACTGCCTCCATCATCAGGGCGATAAGTATGAAGATTTCTGTCTTCTGGGTTGTTGCTCCGTGTAGTCTGGTCGATGTTAACCAACGTTTCAGAGGTCATACTGCCTCCTTCATCA